CCCCGCGCCTAGGGGTTTGCCTCCAGCTCCATCTCAGCAAGCAAAGTAAGCTGAAAAGCCTGCTACGCGGCAGAGCAGCGCCCGCTCACCAGGCGCCGATGCACACTGGGGCGCTCCCCAGCTCGGCCCTGCAGCGGCGGGGGCGCCGCGAAAGCCTGCCCGAGAAGGAGCTGCAGGACCCTAAGGTGCCGCAGGGAAAAACCCGTCAGCATAACCCAGCGCGGGGAAGACGGAGCGTTTCAGGGGTTGCAGTCTCTGACAATGTCCCTCTTTCAAGATAAAGCCAATGTCAAAGAGTCTGTGACTTAATATTCGGTTTATGTAAGGAAAGAAAAGGACAAAATTTTAAGGTGAGGGAAGGATTTTCAAGATTGATTAAATCAGAAATAGATTGAAAGGTGTTAAAATATTTTTCATTTTACTATAGTTTCAGGCTAAACTTAGTTTCCATAGTTAACTTGCATTACTATAGTGAACTAAGATGATTCTTTAGCGAAGTTTACGTATAATCTTGTAAAAACACGCTGTAGTTACTTATTTTGCAGATGACGAAATACTATGCTAGAGCTGCATTATCAGTTGAAAGTACTGACACATTTTTTCCATTTTTAGGCACTAAATAGCATTGTAACTTACAATATTTTTTTAAAAAAGTAATGAAATAAACAGCAGCAGAGTATTTGAAAAGTTGAGGACTTTCAGGTTCAACTACCTACATAAAAATCTCTTTTCAGCGCCTACCCCTCAAGTATACCCTGTGCTATATTACAATGTAAACATCAATTTAATTTTCCTCAGAGATAATTTTCTTGCAAGCCATACATTGAAGCTCTTTTGCTAGCTTCATCTTTGTGGTATCCTTAACAATCCTATAAAAGAGAACCTGTATGACATTTGCAAAATGGTTATTTATATTCAAGACAAGCTACAAACCCCACTGCCAAAACCCCACGTTGGTCAGGAGCCGTGGTTTTTCTTGGTGTCATGCTCAGATGACTGAGCTTCAGTCTACAACTTGGAAGGGACGCGTCCGCCCCAGCCCTCGCTGCCAAGATACATCTTGCCCTGTTTCAGGGCTTTTACAAAGACCGAGATAGTTGTGCTTGTACGGGGATCCTTCCATGCTCCTGCTTCTACTCTCCACTAGTATTAATACAGCATATGCTTGCAACAACACACCTAAGGCTTAATAGTAGTAATAACTACTGCTTAAAAAGGGTGTAGAGTCATTGTGAAACTCCAGGGTTTTTTTACTTCTGGTTTCACTGACTTCTTTTGTTTAGGTAGATAGCAGGCACAGGTTTTGTCTTTTTCCTTTCCAGGTATTTTCAGTCATTCCCAAGATGCCTGAAGATGATTTTTATGTTTTGGAAGAAAATGTGTTTTCTGCTCCAAAGAGAAGCTTGTTTTCTTACATTACGCTTTCACACTGTGGAAGCAACGTTGTGTGCCCTACTACATAAGACACATAAGCTAGCTAGACGGGCAGTATAAAGTACTAAGCAGAGCCCAAAATACTGCAGGGAAACATTTTGAATTAAAGGTAGGAGACTGCCGCAGTACTGGAATGGATCTTGTGAAGCATTTCCTTTTAAGCTGAGTTAAAACCAGCCCCACCTCTCTTTTCCTCAGGACCAGACCGTCCCTCATGGAAGCTTGCTTTCTTCCAGCATACAAAAGGCGCTCATAGTTGATGCATAAAAATGCAAAGCTGACAGTTTATCAGAGTTCAAATAAATCATCACAAGTAGATTATCTTTCATTCAAGCTAGCTTGAGTTGTTTTCCTGTGGTAATTGCACACAAGTATCAAGAAGTGAAATACTTGAATTCCACCTTCCCTTTTGGACACCATAGCCTGGAGATTCTATAAAACAAGAATTCTTAAGGCAGTTATTAGAACCAGAGAGTTGACTTCAAAAGGAGCTAAGTTGTCTCCCATCGCTTTCTACTCTATATCTTTTAAATTACCAAGGAATTCCCTGAAATCATAACTTTATAGGGCCTGTTTCAAATTTCTGTAGGTCCCCCCTACTGTAATCTAGTTAGCTTGAGACCTTTATAAAGCAGTAAACAGATATACTTTTACTTTTTTATTTACATTTTTGTTTTAAAATTTTTATTTGTTTTTACAAAAAAAAGTACCGGAGTTGCTTAGACCATTGATACAACAATACAACCCATTAAGATCTTAACAGCCACCACTTCATTTCGTTCTTACTTGATAATTCTGGGCTACTAAAAGAGTAAGCTGTGAAGATTATTATCTACAATGTGAAAGCTTAAAATAATTTACTGTTTTCATAAATATTTCTCATTCCTGAACATCTTTAAGACATGAAAAATATAAGATGAGAACAGAATGTACTAGAAAATGGCCTTCCTTATTATTACAGAAACATTGAGGTATCACTGCATGGCACCAGTGTGACTTAGTTTGAGGAAGAGGAACAGTCCAACTGCAATATAAAGGTGGAGAAGTACATGGTTGAAATATTTCCAGTTAAAAACCCCTTAAACATCATCTTTATGGACTGAAAACATTAAGTTTTAGGAGTCTTACTTTTCATACAACAGAACTATTCAGAATTGTAGCAAAGTCTCACAAATTTATTGTCGTATAAAACCAAATTCAATCACAAATAATCAGGCTGAAGTCTTGTCAAATACAAAAAGTATAAAAATAGAACACAATATACAAGACTAGAAGTAGTTAAATATTACTGAAACCAAAGTTACACTGGAATAATTGTTATTTACAAAATCTTGCCTAATCTCTGAGTCCATCTTGAGCTATAGTAATCATTTCTCTACCTTTTTAGGAGATTAACATGCAGATCTGACAGCTGTAAATAACAAAATGAAATGAATGTATACAAATATATGTACATTGAGGCACAGTGCTTTGTAAAGACTTTGTTATCCAGTTGTTATTGTGAAGAGTTGTTTGGTTTTAGTCATTTACATTTTAGAAGACTTGGCTCACCCTCTCCCTGCCCCCCGCCGGTTATTTAACACTTACTGCAATTTCAGAAAGAAACAAGCTCATTTTAATAAAACGGTCTCCTCAGGAAAAAAGCACCTTTGCTCTGGAAGTTGTGACAGTTGGTCATTACAAAAGGACTTTTTGCTACGTGATACAAAAATTGCAGAGAAAGATAGTATGAAGTAGTCCCCATTGATTAGTTTGTGCATTTAATATTATAAATGCACTTACTGGACAAGCACCAAACAAACCCACATTTCAGCTGTGGAAAGCAATATCATGACAATAGATATATACATTATTTTAAATACTTATAGAAATTTAATATACAAATGGCTCTGAATATACAATAAAATAACGTGGTTAAAAAAAAAAAAAGAAACTATGGTGAGAATACCACCATTAGGCACAAAGTATTTCCGGTGTTACCAATTTTAAGGGAACTCCAAAGACAGATCGTTTATCATTTGTCTGGGTATTTCAAGATGAATACCTTCAAGATAATGCAAGAACCTATAAAAAGAAAAGTAGAAGTGACTATAAGGGAACAGAGTTACTTCCAAACACAAGGCAAGACTTTTATTATTTAGAGAGGCAAATGTTCACCTTTCTTGTCTAGAATTATTTGACAGAATATTTTATTAAAATTCTTAACTACCTTGTATATTGAAATGTAGCAAGATTTAGGAAAACCAAAACTTACCTTCTTTTAGTCTTCCCTTGCTCTTTAAGCTTCTCAGACCTACAGATGCTGCGAAGAGCGGGGAGGTATTCAAGTATGCTGGCTTGCTTATTACCCAAGTTTAAAGGACTTCTGGAAAATACTGTTCTGATGACTGCCAGCCTCTTCTGTGCTTTTTTGTGAATGCTAAAATGGAGAACGAAGCTTTATTGGTTTTTGTTCAAGAATGTGCAGTCCCTATTTTGTTCCTTTAAGATCAAATCCACTGGTTTAAAACTCTGTTAAAGATACTGATGCCCAAAACTGTGTCCCAATGGATGAGATGCCTGCAACTTCTGATCGTGTGCTGCTTACACGGCATCACAAAGCTGCTCTCAGAGACAGAAACAGGAGGGACAGTAGTTTGTTTGGCGAATGCTCTTAGCTTAACTATGGAGTCTAATACAGGGAGGTCTTCGCAATCTAGGTACGTGCATGAGGTTTAGTACATCCGTCAGACAACGTAACTAAAAGCATCTGTGGTCTTCAGAAATAAAGTGTCATGCGATTGGTATTTACCAGAAGGTCAGTATCAGATCCAACGTGTAACTCATGATATATTGGCCAAACTTGGTCACAGGTTAGATGGTTAGCTCCATTTTGACATTGCTCCTCTGGCTACTGACTTACAGAAATAAGTCTGAGCTATTTTCCTATTCGGACACTTGAATAGGTTTTATTCACCTATTACACCAGTTTCACCTATGATGACTTGTTTGTGTTAAAAACAATCTTTCATACCCACACTTGCTAGCAGCAATGTATTCTTTGAGCTTTTATAATACACTAAAGGTTATTCTTCATTAGCATAGGTTACTACAAAAAAAATTGCAGTAACTTTCCTCTGAATTTTGTTAGGTCTTCGTCAAGCAACACCTATGCATTTAATAGAGACTCAATATGACCAGGCACTGGATGAAAGATGTGCATGTCTAATACTTGCAGAATCCATTTCAGTCCATCTGTCTGTCTTGAAAAAAACATTCCTTTAGGTTTTTGTTTCTGTTTTTTGGGGGGGTGGAGGCGGTGTGTGTTTGTTTCTAAAGTAAATAGACCAGATTAAGGCTACCATTCCTGAATAACATTATAAGCAGGCTATTCAAACAGGAAAAGTCACTCTTTGCAGATTGCCAAGCAGTTAATTTAAGCTTATTTAAGCAAAGTGAACAATGTATTCCAGTGTTTTAAGACATACTGACAACATTCATCTTGGTATGAATGTGTACACCTAGTATTTGAAACAGTCCAACACCCTGTGAAATGCTTTTCTTGACAAATAACTGCATTATATTCCAGAAATATTAGCAGAGTCTTACCTTGAATCAGCCGACTGACTGAAGGATACATAATTTCTTGTGTTTGAAATATGCAAAGTAAGTCCCTCCAGTTGATCACTTTCAGGTGTTTTACTGGCACTCAAAGAGGATTCCAAGTTTTGTGAAATATTAACAGAACATTTGTTAAAACTGAGTGCTTCAATAGCTGCCTTTATTTCACTACAGCGCTGGGAACTCCACCAATCAGTATCTTCTATACTGAACTCATCACAAAGACCATTTTTGATTTTGCCATTTGTCCAATTAAATCCTTCATCTTTAGAAAATTCCAGTGGTTCCTTGGTGTTAGTGTTTACACAGCAATCCAAGAAAGATATATTCTCCACAAATTCAGTCAGTGAATTCAGACACTCAAAAACAAGAGCAGACCTTTTCTCATTTGCTGAGGTTTTAGTTTTAATTTCTTTTTCTTCTTTATTCATCAACAATTTTGATTCCTCTTTATTCACTTCAGCACACGATGTAGGACTATCCGATGGCAAAGTTATGAATTCAGCTGAATAGTTCAGTCCAGTATCAAATAAGTCACTATCATCCAACATATCAAGCCTTTTCTGGTTCTTTGTCTTTTTAGACTTTTTTCCAGAGCAATAACTGTTAGATCTCTTTTTTGAAGAAACTATGGTAGTCCTTTCAAGTATAGAGTTAGAGGCTTCAGATTGGTCTGAAAGAACTTGTACTGGTAAGGGAAGAATAAGTTCAAGATTACTATATATAAAATCCACTTTCTTCATCTGGAATTCCGTGAGAAGCTGCATCAATTTATTCCATTTCTCCATGGTTGTGATTTTGTGCTGTAAAATAATAATCATGAAAAATTTATTATTAATTTAAAAAAAAAGTTATTACAGAAAATCTCATACTCCTGGCTTTGTGTTTATGAGGCAAGGGACTGTTTTGCTTGCAGGAGACTGCCCCAGTTCAGATTTTGCTTAATAATGACAGAATCCCCTAAGTTCTCAACAAACCTTTTCAAAGTGATTTGCTTCTCAGAAGATGATATTCCTAGTGACGATTACACTCAATTATCTGGCAATCATTCAAAGAATTAGCTAGTCAACTACAAAAATACCTTAAGAAATGTAAGCAAATCTTCTGAAGGCAACAGGATATTCTTAAGGCCAAGCAGCGTCTCTACACAGCCTGTATCACATTTTGGAAACTCCTGAAGACGTGTGTCAGCTTGAGAAAAATCAGTCTTGGAATCAGTAGTCTTTTCAGAATGACTTACACAATCTGCTTTATTTGTCTCATCTCCTCCTGCACAAAGATAGCATGCTTTACTTGAAAAGAAACAACTGCATCATGAAATTGATTTTTCCCCTCTTTGCTTCATTTCCTTTTATAAATGATACCGTAACTGTGGCATCTTGCTGCAGTTCTGAATGAATATAGCAACTGAAATCAGTCATCCCCATCCCCATTCATCATCCCCATTTTGTTTAAGTGTTACCAACCTGCCCGCTCTCCCTTCTTTGCAAGTAACCATTTGAAACAGTCTCTTCTTCCCTCTATGCCCCATGAGTCTCTCTCTGTCGTGCACTCACAGGCTGTCTCACTCACCCACACCCGCTGGGGATACTCCTCCTGTATCCTTTGGGACCAAGTTCTTACCCTTGCTGTCTGCTTGCTAGCTGTCCAGTTTTTCTCCTTCTTTCAGTTCTGCTTCTTACCTAGTGAATTACCTACAACTCAGCTAAATGGATAAAGAACTGCAGACTCTGAGCTGAAGGGAAACTACTGCTGGCTCCCTGCTCTGCCCAATTTTGCTCCTGTCCTGGTTTTGGCTGAGTTAATTTTCTTCCTAGTAGCTGGTATAGTGCTGTGTTTTGGATTTAGTACAAGAATAATGTTGTTAACACAACTGATGTTTTAGTTGTTGCTAAGTAGTGCTTACACTAAGTCAAGGACTTTTCAGCTTCTCGTGCTCTGCCGATGGAGAAGAGCTGGAGATGCACAAGAAGCTGGGTGGGGGCACAGCCAGGCCAGCTGACCCCAGCTGGCCCAAGGGCTATTCCATACCATATGGCATCACGCCCAGTATAGAAACTGGGGGAAAGCTGGCCGGGGAGCCGCTGCTCGGGGGCAGGCTGGGCATTGGTCAGCGGGTGGTGAGCAATCGCATTGTGCATTGCTCACTTTGTATATTCTTTTATCATTATTATTATTACGATTTTATTTTATTTCAATTATTAAACTGTTCTCAACCCATGAGGGTTTGTTCCCCCCGCCCTCACTTTCACCCTTCCAATTCTCTCCCCCATCCCACCAAGGGGAGACTGAGCGAGCGGCTGTGTGGGGCTCAGTTGCCAGCTGGGATTAAACCACAACAGCTACTTAGAAGAGGAAAGGGAGATAATTAAGTACCATAATGATGGGTAATAAACAGGTGTGACAAAAATAAAACTTTTTTAGTTCCTTATGCATATATACAAGGCTTTGAAGTAGCCAAAACCCCCTCAAAACCCTACCCAAATGTTCAGGAGTCTTACAGAAAGTTACCACCTATGCATACATGTCTAAGAATGCTTTGATTTAATCAAATTCATGTTAAGACGAGAACTTTTTTTTTTTTTTAATTAAATCAACCTACCATGATGTGCCAAACATTTGTCTTTCAAGCATCCACCTCCACTTCTAACCCAAAATTGTAAGTAGAGAACACTTTGTCTGATATCACAGTTATTTGTGGTTAACAGAGCAGCTAAGTCTTTCACATCTGTTCGTAGATTCTCAGCCAGACACAGCACTTGAAGATAGCTAGCAGCATTTATCTAAACAAAAGTTAGACAAAGACCACTGAAAACAATTCTTACCACTCAGACTCAATAGTCACACAGAAGCAAATTGTTCTATTTATGCTTGCAATACATTTTTCCTTTTAATATAATTAGTTTATGAAATTACAGTTACATTAAAACCTCTACAGAAAAGCAGAATACTGTACCAAATCCAAACAGTCCACATCAGAGAATTAAGTTAAATTTGGAAATTCAGCTCATTAAAACCAAACAAAACACATATTCTGCCTATGTTCCTGAAACCACATACAGTGAACAGGTTTTAGTGAACTATATTCACTTTAGAGGTTTTTCTTTCTTTCTTTTAACTCTGCAATTGTCTGGTAGCCCAAAAGATTTTCAAATTCACATTGAAACAACTCCCCTTCTCAAAAGTTAGTTCCTTCTGATTCTCATTTGTTTAGGTTTTTCATATGATACACATTTGCAAATAAAACTATTTGCTATACAGAATACTAGTGTTTACATTAAAGGAATAAGCCATAATATTTCTAGAATAGTTCCTATACTTTTTAATGAATGAACCAATGCTGGCATAGTCAGCCTTCAGATCAAAACTATTAGATATAGTGCCTATGAAATTATTTACTACATCCTAAAAACTAAATTAAGTGATGTTCTTATTCTAATTCTCTCATATACTAAATGGGTAAGAAGATAAATCTTCCAGGCTAGTAATAAAAATTCTACATGTAAAGATAAGTACATCCTACACATCCTTGCATAAAACCTGAAAAAACAGTCTTCTGATGAAACAGATATATTGCATCAGATAAATATAAACCAGTACCAACACTTAAATTTCAAACTTAAATTAGCTGACAACTACTTGCTTAGGACACATCTGCATTTTCAAACACAGACTTACCAAGGAAGGGGTTCTAAAGTTGATCTCTTCAAAATAGCCATCAAATGTTAAGCTGAATGTTGGATCTATATAAAGAGATATCAGTGAACTGTCACGACATTATGTTCAAAACTAATGATTTTCTTTACCCATTCGAGCAGGCAGTATCTTTATTCAAATACTAAAATACTTGCTTTATAGCCTCCACTAATTTAATTTTACATTTAGGAGCTGTATTCAACCACCACCATTTAAACCATCTTATAAAAGAGGCTCTTTTGTCTGTAAAGCCTAACTACTGTAACAAACACTACTCACCATTGGTAGTAAGAATTACAGGTCTCTTTGCAGTTGCCATGAATGTCTTTATTGCACTTAGAAATCCTGCATCTTCATCAAATATTATATCTACCTACAGAAAACAAATGAAGTGCAAAATATTGATAGCTTTAACACCAATTATCAATAGCTTTAACAACAGCTACAAGCTGTGAATGCAGTCATACTGTTAACGACTGAGTAAGACTTAACATTAAGACAGGTTTCTTGAACCTGCACGGGCAATGACAGTATATACACTTCAGGGAGAGTTCACTTGTTAGCACACACCACTTCAATCACAGTCTTCCGTGCTGAAGCTTACAAAATCACAGACTGGTTGAGGTTGGGAGGGACCTCTGGAGGTCAACATGTCCAATCCCTCTGCTCAAGCTGGGTCACCTAAAGCAGGTTGCCCAGGACCACGTCCAGGTGGCTTCTAAGGTTTTTCTTTTTAACAGAATTGCACCAGTGATCTCTAGGATCAGCCCACAGTTGGCAACATTGCTATATCTTCTTTATTTGCTTAAAATTACATTCTTGGCTGCAATTTTGTATTGTTAGTTTAAGATGCAAAGACATTTTTGGGCAAGAGGTTGAAGAAAAGAAGAATTTAACGTGGGCTTAGTTATTGTATTACTGGAGTGTTAATGGTGCCTTTTAAAGCGCATCAGTGCATTTAAGTAGTGTAAAATTAAAGAAAACAGCACTTTTGGCATAATCAAAGGAATTAAATCAGCAGAATCCTGCTAACTGTTCCAACAGTGAACAACTGTTGAGAGATGATAGTTTATCTTTTAAATTAACGATCCATGGTTAAAAAAAAGTACTCATATGGATGAAATCATTAAACACTGAATTAATTTTTAAAGAAGTTTATAATCCTAACACTTGAATCTACCTGGAAGTCTCAAGTAGGAGGGGGAAAAAAGTTAAACTCTTTAAACATAATGAAAGGACATTGCTCACATCAATATATTTCACGTGAATTTTACCTCTTCAAAAAGAATGAGAGATGTTGCACTTTTTCTGTTGTGTTCTCCTCCTTCTACTTCTTTGTTTATTGACTTAATTTGAGCATCTTTTTTTTCTTCACGTGACTTCTGGCTATTTCCTGTAGATGGGTGAAGAATTGAGCAGGAAGCAAAGGAGGACTGAAACCATTTAATATGCATCCTAGATGCTGGTTTCAAAAGCACCCTGTGTATAAACTGCTTAAGAAAATCTACACTGACACAAAAACTTAGAAATCTGACCTACATCCTTTTCTGATGTCTGTTGTTTAAAAAAAAATTGCAACAAATCTGTTGGGAATTCAACAGTGTGTGGTGAAGGGCTGACTACTGATAGAATTAATTCTGCACCTAACCTGTTTGCGACCTATGACGTCTCAGGGGTGCGGAGTACGGAAGTCCTTCAAGACAGTGCAATATGATTGCCTGAAAAGACAAGGACTAGACTCGATTACCCCAATTCAATCCAGCACTTTGCTCATGCATTCTGCTGTACTGTCTGTGCAAAAAATACTGGTTGTCCAAATATATTACTTCCTTTCTAAAAACCTGTCTTTAAGACTTTCTGCTCCCATGAAACATTTGGAAATACACCTTCCAATATTAAAAGAGTCAAAGATTTCAGTGTGCGTTTCTATGTATTAAAGTCCACAGTCTGCAATCAAACATTTACTGGCTTTACAGGACCTCTTAATTCTGTGGCAGTAATTTTGATATATATACACACCACCCAGCACAGTGACCATTCCACACCAACCTGAAACAGGCACTGAGGTACTATAAAGGCGTGTTTTTCTAGAGACAGATTTTAATTTATCTTCTCTTACCTAAATGCTCTGAAAACAAACAAAACCAAACAACTAAGGAAAGCCTACTGAACTTCAGATAGTCTGTACCCTAGTTAACTCTCCTGTAATAGGTTAATGACTACTTCCTATGTAGTTAAGTGTATCTGAGATGCATTAAGCAACTCTTGCCAGCAGCTGGAGTGTAGTAAGTGTGCTCTACTCTTTCCTCCACACAGCTCCATGTATACAGTAGTACAGTGTAGGATTTCCACCTCCAAAGGTAACTAATTATCAAATAGTGATACCTACCTTTATTTTTTTCTTGAGATGTTACTGCTCCATCATTACCTTTACGTTTGGAAGAAATTTTGAAATAGTTTGCAAGTGTTTTAGGGGGCAAGTTTCGTTTTAATCCTGCTCCTTTTGGTGACAGTGGAGGTTTTCTTGGTGAAATAACTTTCTTTGGAGAATATGTTTTTTCTGCAAGATATGTTTTGTATTAAGCTTAAGCTGGAAATGTAAACTCAAACTGCCATTTCTCAGGCAAATCTAGAGCAAATCCCAGTTTTGTATCTAGTAGGACAGGTTTACTGTGCTGATTGCTGCTTATGTTACTTTTCTCCTGTTATAGGGAATGCTTTCTGTTCAACTTGCTATTCAAGTGCCATAGCACTTACTCCATCACTACAGAAATAACTTAAGATAATCAAGAGTCAGCCACTTTGATAAAGTCATCAATTAATTTGGTATGTAGTTGTGTTAACCAACAGAGCATTTTCTTCTTATTATGGCCAGATAAGATTAAATTTTCTATCTTTTTTAAAGAACTGATGTCTAAAAATTGTTTTGGGAACTCAGTTCCTTAAAAAAACAAACAAACTCCAAAACCCGCAAACCCCACACCACCAAAAAAAAACCCCCGAAACCCCGAACCAAGCAAAAAAACCCAGATATAACCATGAAACTTACTTGGTGACTTGGCACTGCTACAACTGTTAAAAAAGCAAGGCTTATGTGCATTAATGCCTTTTTTGTCCACTTGATGAGACTGAGTAGCTTCTTTGAGTTGAGACAGTATCTGTCTGCCGCTACGCTGGCAAGAGGCATTGACTTCAAATATCTGCAATGGTATTTAATTTACATAAAAAAAAATTAGACACCTTGTATTACAAATGTTTTCATATCACTAGTTACAAATAAGAAAAATGGCACTGAGGAAAGGACTCCACAAACCTTAAAACCAAGCTCCTGAGCACAAGCATATACTGCAGCAGTTTTCCCCACTCCTGGTGGGCCAGTTATCAGAACTGTATTGCAAAGGCTAGTCTCTTCCTCAATATCAGATTTATTATCTTTAAAGTCAAGGCTGTCCAGAGAATCTGTAGAATTATTTAAAAGAAAGGATTAACGTAACTTTTATGCCAACTTTAACAAATAGAAGCTATATATATTAATTCTATCAGCACCTTCATACTCTTTGTCCTCCTTTTCCCCTTTCTGATTTCTCTTTTCTTCCAAATCAGCTCTTTTTTTCCATTCTTTTAACCAACTATAAAAGGAAGGAACAGAACAAAAAATTACTGCTGAATAAAGTGAACCAAATTCAGATAGAACAGAACATAGAACTAGGGGACATCAGCCACTTGTTATCCCTCTCAGAAACTTAAAGCCCTTTCAGATTTAAAAAAATAAAAAATAATAATAAAAA